CTGTTAAAGTAGTAAATTTATAATCTTCCTACAAAATGTGGTGTCGGCATTTCCACGAAAGACTAGCTTTGGTCAGAGTTTGATGTTCGTGCATGATCAGCTATCTGTATAGGAACGCTTGCTGAAAGGATGATGAAATAGGAACTGATATTGCGAAACGAAAGACTCGGTAACTCAGAGTGCTTCAAGGTGATTATTTTACTATATAACAGCTCGCCTCATTAGTGAAAAGGCGATGCCTTGCTTCGACTTTTAAAGTTCAATTGGGGTTTCTGATACTTCTTCATTTTCTGGGCGTACGTCTTGTCTTCTTTTAAAGGTTAACTCTTTCAGTTTCTATTTCATGGAACTGCTGCCGGTTGTAGAATTATTAATTTGTTTAATTCACGAAAATCAATACACAATCTGGTTATACAACCTTCATCATTTTTTAAGCGCCAATGTAACAGGAGCAGCAAATGGTGAAGAGGATTCTTCTATTAAATTTGCTTTTAACAATTGAAATTCTCTGTTTGAAATTCTCTTTCGTTTTGGTCCTCTAATGAGCATCTACAAGGCTTGCTTGCACCAAATTTATGGTTTAAAAAATTAATTCATGCTTCATCACTTATGTTTCGCAAAAATATTGTTCTATTTAGTTTTAATAATATTTTTCTTTTATTTCTTAATCCGGCAATAAATGTTTTAATTTTGCTTCGAAAAGCTCAGTAAGAATTTCCTTATTAAAGTTTATTGACTGGTGTGTAATATTAAGGGTATTATTAAATATATCAATCTTGTCTTGACTATTTGCATTTAATCTTTGATAAACTTTGAAATCAAAATCTTACTTCAGCTGAAAATTCAAAATAGAATCTAATCCAAGTAGAATATCATATTCAAAATATTGATCATTAATTATAAAAAGATTAATCTTAATTTTGATTAAATTATTAAATTTTGATTATTTTGCAATTAATTTTTTTATAAAATTTGTTTTGGAATTTATTGTTTTAAACATATATTTCTATTCATGAATGTGTTGCTTGTGTGAGTCCATATCAAATAGGTAAAGAAATAATAATAAGACTTACTCACAATCAATTTAATTTAACAATCAGACGACCGGTTTCGCTTTCTACAATTTGCAAAGCATCTTCAGGTCTAGATACAAAGTTAAACTAATGCTGCAATAAAATAAACCCAATTAGGGTGGTGTCTAATAAAGATAAAATAAACAAATAAGTTAGTTCATACAAATTATAGTAATTATGCCAATATTACATGTCTGTGGTTTTCAAAATGAATAAATTTGAATATATAAAAGGTATTAACAGACAAGGTAAGACCCACAATTGGTATAAAGTAGTAATATTATATTGTAATAAATTAATAAATGAGCAGATAAATAAAACAAAACAAAACAAAACAACAAACATTACTTACATGCCGGTAATCCCATCCCATCTTCAGGTCTAGATACAAAGTTAAACTAATGCTGCAATAAAATAAACCCAATTAGGGTGGTGTCTAATAAAGATAAAATAAACAAATAAGTTAGTTCATACAAATTATAGTAATTATGCCAATATTACATGTCTGTGGTTTTCAAAATGAATAAATTTGAATATATAAAAGGTATTAACAGACAAGGTAAGACCCACAATTGGTATAAAGTAGTAATATTATATTGTAATAAATTAATAAATGAGCAGATAAATAAAACAAAACAAAACAACAAACATTACTTACATGCCGGTACTCTATTAATTGATGGTAATCCATCAATTAATAGAGTACCGGCATGTAAGTAATGTTCGTTTTGCTTTATTTATCTGCTCATTTATTAATTTATCACAATATAATATTACTACTTTATACCAATTGTGGGTCTTACCTTGTCTGTTAATACCTTTTATATATTCAAATTTATTCATTTTGAAAACCACACACATGTAATATTGGCATAATTACTATAATTTATATGAACTAACTTATTTGTTTATTTTATCTTTATTAGACACCACCCTAATTGGGTTTATTTTATTGCAGCATTAGTTTAACTTTGTATCTAGACCTGAAGATGCTTTGCAAATTGTAGAAAGCGAAACCGGTCGTCTGATTGTTAAATTAAATTGATTGTGAGTAAGTCTTATTATTATTTCTTTACCTATATATTTCTATCGTTTGAGACTGAATCATAAACTCCCTGAAATTCTCTATTATTTAGAATGACTTTTAATTTGATCAATTGCAGCATATCTAGTTTTTGGGTCTGTTACTGTTTTATTTAATGTCTTTAGTAATATTATTTACATAATTAATATTATTGGATTTTTCTTTTTGTACAGTTTTTAAATTTTTTTGTTTTAAACGGCATATTACTTCTAAATGAAATTGCCCAATAGATTGACCGTTGCAATACAGGCCCGTTACCATAGTGCGACAGAGAAAACTGACGCAAAGCAGTCCCTGCATCTATTTATAATTTGTCAGGTTTATCGACTACGTGACCTAAATGTCCAATGAAATGGTCACGTGGTCAATAAACTCGTCCTATTAAAAAAAGATGCAGGAACTTTTTACGTCAGTTTTCTCTGTCGCATTGGCGGAACGCGACTGTATGGCAGCAGTCAGTCTATTTGAATTATATATCTATGGGTACAATATACTGTTATTTTATTAAAATAAACATAGGATAATTAGTGATTCCATTGTAAGTCATGAGGAATAACCAGAAAAAAATGCATGATACAATCCCGACATGGTAATTATTTGGTCTTATAGTTTACTTTTAAAATAAACATTAAATACTAATTTGATATGTATTATGTGATAAATGATGTATTCTTAATATTTTATTGACCTACACATAGCGATATTCCTTTTAATTGATTTCTTCTTTTGCTATTGGTAACCAGATATTGCTGCTTTCTGTTGCGAAATTTGTATCGCAATTGGTTAAATATTATAAAAGCAGCTTCTTTGATTTTGATTTATTTATCTATCTGTTACTTTCAGGAATCCATACAAATTGTTACATTGAATTCTGTGTTAATTTCTGTGAATTCTGTGTTTGAATTCTGTGTTAAATCATGCGTGTTTACATATTATTTTAAGGTCTATCCAATTACCTGTTTTTATATAAGATTGATGCTCACTTATTCTAACATTTAATGATCTTAAGGTTTAAAAACTTTGGCAAATAGGCAAGTTATGTACGGTTTTTAAAAGCTACAAACAGCACTGGTTTAAAAATATAGTAAAAATACAATGTTCAGCACAATGACCAACTTGGTTGTTATCACTCGTTGGACCAAGTCCATTTTTCGAGTTGGGTGTTTGTATGTTCCCTTAAAAATGTAATTCTTTATTATTAACCTAGTGTCACAATAATTATAATATTTACTACTTTAATTACTTATTCTAAATATTGTATAGGTTTCACTGAGGATGGTCCGATAGGACAAAAACATTCTTAAAATGTATAAATCTGTTTTAGATCATTTTAAAAAATTTTAATACATTTTTATACCCTTTTACTGCAAACTCAACTGCAAACAATGATTGTACATTTTCTGGTTTCTTTGATTACTAATTGACCCTATGATAACTTTAAGATACTAGAGAAGGTCAAATAATGGAGTTGATACACTTTTGATTAAGAAACAAAATTTATTAATAAAAAAGGAATCTTATTTAGATTTACTATACAAAATGATATAAATGAGAAATACCAGGTCTGGCTATAAATAACGAGACTACTTAGGAAAAAGAGTTTTATTTTAAAAATGATTCTACAATCGAATGTACTCCTTCAATATATTCCCCTTTCCTCACGACACACCGTTTCATTTGTTTTTTCCATTGGTCAAAGCAATGCTGGAAGTCTTCTTTTATTGCAGCTATTAGGAACTTCACCTATTTTCGTTTCACCTCTTCCATCAATTCCTTTTAAAGCAGACTTGATCTTTGGAAACAACAATAAGGCGAGTACGGCAGGTATTCGAGCACTGAAATGCCTCTAGCGGCTAACTAACGCTTTACAAACAGTGCGCTATGGGCAGGTGCGTTGTCCTGAAGCCAGATCCACGGTTTGTTTTTCCACAACTCGCTCTCGTACCGTTGCCAAAACTTTCAAATCGATACCTTTTTGCTATAACATCGTAAGTGACAAATTTAAGGAAAACAGTTTTATTGAAGCATCGTATCTATCAAGCTGCCAGGCATCTCCCAGCAAAATTATCTCAAGTTATAATAGCACATTTTTGGAGAAAAAACTGAATTTGCTATAACGTAAGTCATATAAAAATGTGAACGAATTTATTTTGTAGATGTGAAAACATGGCATGGTCACCAAAACATCGTAAGGTGCAAGTCACGTGGTACAAAAATTGCTACTTACGATGCAGCGAAGTGCGTTACGATTTATTAGTGCACTGTGTATAGCCGCAGAGTCAGAACGTAAGTACCACAAAATAATTTTTTGGTAATTATTTATAGTTTTTACTTCTGCTTTCGTTGAGACTTATAGGAAGCATTGTAAAAAATGTAGTTTAAAATCAAAATTTCCTCAACATAACGTAGTTTTTTTTTCAAATTATAGAGGTTTCTTAGTAATTGTATTGGGGTGATAGGTAATGGTTGTTCTAGATTTATTTCGTCTCAGGTAAATCATAATCCTATCTTTTTGTAATATTTTGTAGTGAGTATTATAAGGTACTACAAAATCCATATTTTATGTACAAGGTGTCTTACCTCGATTGACACATTTTTGGTCAATATAGGATATTTTATCCCACGCGTAATATTGCGTAAGGTTGAATAGTACAAGATAAATCCCGTACCGATCGAGCTATCGGACGGCCACACCGTTAATCACACCTGGCGAAAATAAAATAAAAGACAAGAAGAATGAAGGCTACATTTGGCGCACTTATAATTCAAAATAATATAACTTTTCTAAGTAATATTTTAAAGTCGACAAACAAGATATTCTTTTTTTTTTTCAGATTATCGCCATGAGTAGCAGATCAAGACATCCCGTAAGATTAGCTCTTAATTCTCACGGAACACTAGAACCAACTGCCATACCGTCTTTGGTCACCACTCCGTCTAAGTCTTCACATGAGTTGGATTCACTCTCACTATATGTAGGAGACTCTAACTTTGACAGCGAATTATTTGAATTAACTTCAGTTTCGTATGATGTAAAAGACTCAGCATCTTTGTATATATCAAGAAAATTCGAAGAGATTCTACTGGTATCACAGAAGCACTTAATTTTAATAGACTTTACCACATCCTCTACCACGAGTGTTTCTTCACAAGTTGGTCAAATCTCGAACTTGAAAGATTTACAATCTTCAGACGCGGTCGTAATTAGTTTAGATGAATCTATAATTTACCATGTCACTGCCGACGGAACAGAAATAAAATCCAAATGTAATGTGCCAAGTTCTCCTGTTGATGATGACCTTCATCAGAACCCGCCAGTAGTTTCAACACGACTCTCCGTGAAACTCGTTGGTTTCACCAACGTTTCAAAAAAAAAAACCAAAACAGCTTTATTCCCAAAAATTGTCTATTTCCGTTGCAAAGAAAAAATACTTAATTGATCCATGCAACAATATAATTCCTCTCAGGTTTCAAAATAAAGATTGGCTAATGAAAACGTCAGCTACGCCAGATAAGCTAGTAGAATCTGATGAGGAAGACGAAAGCGGTGAAGGGCCCCAAGATTAGATTTTTGCTGGTTGACTATGATTCACATTTATTATACCACATGCAATAACATTAGATATTATGACTATTATTTGTAAGTTTATGACTAATGATTTGTTGTTAAGTTAAATGATTATTGTACTTTTTACTTTTCACAAATAAATTACTTTAAATAAACGATTTTTGTAATTTTTTTTATATTATTTAGGTTACTTTAAGGGACTGTGTCTAAACATACTTTTTATCGTAAGTGCTGAGCTTACGATAACAATCACAATGTGAAATTATTTCTGAATTTACCAAATTTAGCGTAAGTGTTGGACTTGTATAAAACTACAGTAGCAAAATTATTTTTTATGTTTCCAAAGTAACGTAAGTCCAACTACAAAAAACTGTAACTATTTTGAAGAAACATCATTATTTTTCTTTAAACACTCATCATAATACGTCCGGATGTCAATTTTTACTTCAATTGAATATTTCTAAACACGTTTATTGAAAAAACTGCCGTACTAAAAAAAATTACTAAACGAGACTTACGATGTTATGACAAAAAGGTATCGAAATAGTAAGTTTGGTTTACAGTCTGACCATCTGGAATCCATTTAGTCATCACGATGCCGTTAATGTCGAAAAAAAAACGATTAGCATGGCTTTCAATTTTGATTTCGACATCCTTGCTTTTTTCATTCTTAGCGATGCAGGATTTTTCCAGTGCATGGATTGTCGCTTAGTTTCAACATCGTATTGTAATGTCCAGGTTTTATCGCAAGTAATGATGTTTTCCATTAATGTTCTTCATGTAACACCTCAAGAAAATCTGAGCAGATCTGTTGGCGGACGAGCTTTTGGTGAGGGGTCAAATTTTTTGGGACCAACTTCGCACAGACTATCTTCATGTTGAATTCGCCATGGTAAATTTTTCTGGTAGTTTGTTTATCGCCGTTTACAGTCTTAGCAATCATCCGAATACTCATACGATGATCTCAGAGCACAATTTTATTTATTTTGGTCAATGTTTGCGGAGTTGAAACAGAGATAGGTGACCTGGACGGTAGTCATCTTCGGCGCTCTCTCGGCCTTTCGAAAACCGTTTATACCATTCGAAAACAAAACGCGCGCAGAAGATAAAGAATTCTTACCATGTGCCTCTTTTAACAAAATAGAGCACTGAGTCGGAGTTTTTTTAAATTAACGAGAAATTTCACTTTAATTCGTTGCTCATGTTCTCCGTCACACATTGTTATAGGCACGAGAAAAAACACGTTCTTTTCTAACATCTAAAGAAAAAATACTACTATAGCGACAAAAACGTGTATCCAATGCTGCGTTCGTTTCCCACTCTTCCCCTTTTAGGACTCCTTCTGCGCGCGCAGTCTCCTTATTTGAAAGTCAGGTCTCGTATTGTATTTTTGCATTTTTTCATTTATTACAGTGATAGTTTGTTCCTTCTAAAAGTAACACTCCTAACAAAAAACTGGTATATGAATTAAATAGTAATTTCTAAGGTGAATAAATATTTATAATTTATTTACGAAAAACATAAAATTATTATTTTTAGTAAACTATTTATATCTGAGTTGTTCAGAAATTTTTGAAAAGAGGATAAAAGATAAATTAACTGTAATTTTGTAGTCTTATGTTGAAGACAGAGCATTTGTTACAATATCTAAAGCAGCGTCTTGTAAAAAAGTTATATAATCGTACCACCTTAATAATAAATCTGCCAGTCATACGCAACCATAGTCGTGCAATTCTGGCAAAATATAACCAATATTTTTACCCAAGAAATTGAGGATCAAAGTGCCATGCTGAAATATTTATTTTTCTAAGAATGTTTGAAGCATTGAGTGAGCCAATTAAGATATGTCAGTTTATCCCAGAAATAAATTTTTACGATAAGAACATTTGTCTCAGCACTGAAAAAGATTGTGCTATGAGCATATTGAATTTTTACCATTTTAAATATTTCACAAAACTTCTAGACTTGCCTATTAAATGGCAATAACCTTGTAACTAAAAATATTTTGTTGAATCACCTAATCCTAATATTTTAATAAGTTTAAAACTCATGTTATTTGTGTTTATGAAAGAGTTATGAGAGAGGAGAAAAACAAAGAAACGTAACAAATTTAAATTATTTTTAGTTCTTAACAAGAAATCTTTACAATTTATTAGATTTATTCTTTGATAACACATAATTGCAATATATTTTATCACTTTTCTTCTTCTTTATGACGTGCCTGATTTTTTTTCTCCGTTGTATTAATGATATTCGAAGCACTTGGTTGAAATTCTCTTTGTGTAATTTCTACTTTTTTTATATTTACTACAGTAGAAAACCAAATCGTCATGGAGTGTGGTATAGACCTTGTAGAAGGTCGTGAAATGCAGCCTGTAGTAAGGCTTAATTCACCGATACAGCGAACTGTTTCTGTTTATGCGTGACAAACAATTTGGGTATACCAAACAACACCAGCTCAGTCAAGGCCTTTTCGTCCAGTAGTGACATCAGCGTAGAATCTCAAGACGACCAAGTAAAATTATTACTAAGGGTTTTTAGTTATATGGTAACATTAAAAATGATTTGATAAATAAGGATAATGTTAATAATGACTTAATTAAGATGAATGATAAACGTAATGACCTCAGCATCAGCCTTTCTCATCCACTGCTGGACATAGGCCTCCCCTATTTGTCTCCAAAGTGTTCTATCTTGTGCTTGCTGTATCCAGATTTTTGTTGTCTTTCGTAAGTCGTCTTGCCATCGTATTAATGGTCTTCCTCTGCTACGTTTTGGCTCTTGGTCTCCATTCAACTAGTTTGCGAGACTATCTTCCGTCCTTCATTCGGGCAACGTGCCCAACCTATTTCCATTTTAAGTTACAGCTTCTTTCAATGACGTCTATGACTTTAATCATAGCTCGTAGATCTTCGTTTCTAATCCTGTCTCGCAGAGTGGCCCCTATCATTGATCGCTCCATTCTTCTCTGAGCTACTCTTAGTTTTTGTGCGTTTTTCTTTGTGAACAATAACGTTTCTGCACCATAGGTCATCACCGGTAGCACGCATTGATCGAAAACTTTTTTCTTTATATTAGTTGGGATGTCACTCTTAAAAACGTTCCAAAGTGCTTTGTATACTGCCGTATGCTGCCTAATGTAATGACCTAAATGATAATAATTTAAATAAATTAAGGAAAAGAAAGTAAGAAAATAGTCCGATCAATGGATATCTTGGTCGACCAAATAAGAAGGATGGAGGCAGCAAACAAACGCCTAAATGAAGAATATGAAAAGAGAATTGATGATCTGCTAGCTCAGATGACTAAGCTGCAGAAGATAGTAACATAAAAAGAAATAGAAAATTAAAGACTATTAAAGCACGTAAGAATACTATCCGAGCAGATTATCAGTACAAAATACAGTGACCCCCAACCCATTGCTCCAGCCAAAAAGTTTACAAAGAAATGGAACCTGGAAACGACGACACCTTGGAAAATTCAGCAGAAAAAAAGACAAATCAAATAGAAATCCAAGTAAAGTTCACTGCTTAACCAACTGTAAAAGTTGCTAAAAAACAAGCTGAAACAATTAAGGAAAAACTCAAGATAATTAGTGTTGCTAAAAAGTAAACTAGAATTTTTGCAAGGCGTAATAAAGACAAGCAAAAGAAAAAAAACGGCAAACATAGAGGTAGCAGAAGTAACCAAAAAAAAAACAGTAAAAAACAAAACGAAAGAACCTACAAATAAGACAAACTACCAGCTATATTACTAAAATCCGTAGGCAAATCCTAGAAATCCTACAACAAGCCGCTGAAAAGAAATAAATTCGTCAGATGAGGTTGAACAATGGTTATCCACAAGAACAAGAGAGAAGATTACCTTGCAATGATCAAGGTACTTAAAGAATATAACAAAAATTGCCCTATTGAAAACATAACACATCCAACAGAGCAAGACAGATTCACACGGCTGGTAATTAGAGAATTACACCAGATTACAGAAGTCAACAACTGAATGCAACACGAACTGAACAAAAGAGGCATTTAGGCGACCAAAGTTAATAACATAATCTTTAAAAAGGAAGACAAAACATTGCTGTCACTGTATTGTTAGTCACAGTAAAAGAAAACACGGAAAATCTAAGATTCTTAACAAACCTCTGTCATATGAGAATCTACGTTGAGGAGAAAATAGATAACAAGAAAGAAGTTATTTAGTGTTATAACTGCCAAGAATTTTTTCACAGGTCCAAAGCTTGTCACAGTGGTTCAAAATGCGTCAAGTACAGCGAAGAGCATCTGACTTGCATATGCTCAAAGGATACGAGCATCTACCTAAAGTGCTTAATCTGTGAGCAGGCCCATACTTTAAATTGCTCAAAAAACGATGCTCCAAAGTTCTCAGAAGAAAATTATCAACTCCACAACCAAATCTGAAAGAAATACCAAGCACCATAGCAGCAAACTCGGAAATCGCAAAGTTGATTACTAGTTTAAACGTGCAGATGAAAAGCTTTATGTAAAGGTTCGAAAAAATGATAGGTGTCATAAATTCATTGGGAAGTTTTAGTCAACAATGATGTTCAGGGTGTACCAGGCGGATAATCTTAGAATAGGTCATAAATTTAAGGAGGGCTAAAACAAAAAATTAACACTCTGGACAAGCTTGCCAATGGACCCGAACTAGATATCATAGCTTTACAATACACAAAAATAATGGAAAAAACAAAAACTAAATTTCTAAATGATTACAGGGCACTATTAAGAGGTACGGCTATACTGGTGAAAAAAAAAT